ACAGATTGAAAATATTTTGGGGAAAAAAAATTCCAGAAAGTTTTAAAATCAAAACTTAAAGTTGCTGCATGCCAAGTGTTACACTGAATCCACATGAATGAACTGATATATACGCCTTGTGTTAGATACTATAAATTATTCAGAGAGTAAAGTATATGGTGGCTGTGCGGAGGTTCTGTACAAACACCATGCTGTTTTATAAAAGGGACTTAAGCATGTATAGATTTTATATCCAAGATCATCCTGGAACCAATCCCCTGTGGATACTGAGGAATGACTGTATTCAATACATTGCTTTGTTTTAAGAAGTATTTAACTTTATTTATTTTTATTATTATTATTATTACTTAATTTGCTATGGAGCACACGTGCTTACCAGAGAAGAGAGAGAAAGAAAGTGAGAAAGCAAGCTGCTGGGTCTGAGACTCAAATCTCAGTCTGCCATGTGGACGGGGGCCTTAATCCCCATGCCACCTGCTGGCCCCTTGTTTTATTTTTTAAATTAATGTATTTATTTCTTCAGAGAGATAGAGAAAGAGGCATCCTGACAGAGTCTTCACTCTGTGATTTCAGCTAGCCTGGATCTCAGGACATTGCACTTGGGAGATGCTCGGGAGGTTCTGGGACACAATTCCAGGCCTTTCCCACATTAGTTTTGTTACTGCCACAGCCACTAGACCCAGTATATATTATACCATGTTGTACAATGGACTCCTTGAACTATTCTTTGTATCTAATGAAATTGTGTGTCATTTGACCAGACTTCTCCAAATTCCTCTTCTTCCTGTCACTGCCCGCTCCCCACCCAACCTTACCTTAGCTCCTGGTAACCATCATTCTACTTCCCACTTCTATTCATTCACCTTTTTTTTTAGAGAGAGATTTTTGCTATATGGCACATGTACTCACCAGAGAGACAGATAGAAAGCAAGGAATGGCCATGCCACAATCCCTTCTCCTCCATTCTCTTCTTGGGATCTTGGACACACACATACACGTGTGCCCGTGCGCACACGCACACACACACACACACACACACACACACACACACAGTGTGAGTTCAAGTTGCCAGGTCTGGGACTCGAACTATTGTTGAGTCCATGGGAGTCCATTACGCCATCTGCTGGTTCCCTGAATTCCACTCTTTAAGATTCCATATATTAATGAGATCCTGTGGTATTTGTTTTCTGTCTTGATTCATTTCATTTATCATAATATCCTCCAGGTTCATCCATGTTGCCACAGATGACAGGATCCCCTCTTTAGGAAGTAGAATGGAATTCCATTGTGTATGCACCATATTGTCTTTATCCATTCATCTGCTGATGGACACTGAGGTTGATTCTATATATTGGCTATTGTGAATAATGTTACAGTGAACATGAGAATACAGATATCGCTTTGACATACTTCTTTCTTTCCCTGTAGATATATATATACCAGCAGTGAGATTGCTGGATCACATGGTCCTTCTTTTTAATTTTTTGAGGAACTTTCATACTTCTGTCTGTTAATGGCTTTGCTAACTTATACTCCCACAAAAAAATGCAAAATTCCCTTTTCTCCATATTCTCACCCATACTTAAATTTTATCTTTTTGATTATAGTCATTCTAATAACTATGAGGAGATATCTCCCTGTGATTTTAATTTGCATTTCTCTGGTGAGTAGTGATATTATGCATTTTTTTACATATTTATTGGGCATCAGCATGTCTTTTTTTGAAAAATGGCTCTTCAAGTCCTTTGCCAATTTTTTATGGAATTTTGTTTTCTTGCTATTGAGTTGCTTGAGTTCCATATGTATGTTGGCTAATAACCCCTTATCAGATGTATGGTGTCTCAGTTCATTATTGTGTTGCTAACAGAATATTGAGACTAGATGATTTATTAAGAAAATAGGGACTTTTTCACAAAACTCATGACTCTGATGGCTAGAAATTTCAAAGTCAACACAAAATGGCAGAAGGCATCATTTTTAGTAGAGCAGAGAATGTGCCTGGTCTGTATCCAGGTGGCTTTGTCTCTGCCATTCAGGTCTCATTCTCTCTGTGTATAAACCCTACCAGAACTCATGCATGGAGGCCCTGTACTAATAATGTCATCACACTCAAAGGCCTCACCCTAGGACACTGTGAGAGAATTCAGTTTTTATTTAACATCTTTATAATACAATCAAGTCCCAACACATACATTTCTGGGGGATATTCCTTCATGATTCACTAAGACTAAATTTCAAAACATGAAACCTGGGGGATGAACCACTATCCAAACTATTATATACAGTTTGTAAATATTTTCTTCCATTTTATAGGTTGTTTCTTCACTCCTATAATTGTTTTCTTTGCTGGGCAGAATTGTTTAGTTTGATGTAATCCATGTCTATTTTTGCCCATGCTGCTTGTACTTTTAAGATAATAACCAGAAAATCATTGCCCATATCAATGTCATGGATTCCTGTTTTCATCTACTAATTTTCCTGTTTTCATCTGCTAGTTTTTATCTCTTATATTTCAGTTTTTAATTCATTTTTAATTTTGTGTATATGGTATATGAGATAGGAGTGTAGAGGGGGTCCAGAGCTTATAATTTTTGTGTATGGAATGGTTAGATTTAGTAGGGCCTCCTGATTCTTCTTAAATTTAGTGATTTCATATTGAATTCTGGATGTTGTATTCTGTAAAAGATTCTGGTTTTTGTTATAGTCTCTCAAAGTGTATTGGTATTTTTGCTTTAGCAAGCAGTTGTTTTGGTTGGACTCAAGCTGCAAACTTTCTTTTGAGCAATTCTTTTACCTTTGGCAGAGATATTTTGCATCTTCCCTATGTATTCATGGTTCAAGGATTAGCCAAAACCTAGAATAGATTTTGCACTGGAATTTAGAGTGCCTCTTCTCTGGATTTTTCTTTTCTTGGATTCTCTAACTTTACAGTGACTATGGTTGCCCTGGATTCTTTCCTCTGGTTCTTCAGGCCATAAAGATTACAGATTTTCTGTCAGAGTTTTAGTCACCTTTTATGGCACTGTTGTAAATATAGGGAAAAAAATCGTATTTACAATGCTCTTACACAGCACCTCGCTCGTTGCTTCTGACAACAGATGTGTGGGAAAATTGTTCTCCCAAACACCAAGCAATCAATTATCTGCCAAATTTGTCAGTGGGTATCTGGAGTAGTCTCTAATTTAACTCAATTTTAACATTACTTGTATATAGAGGTAGATCTCACGGATTAAGGGCTCAGTCCCATAAGACTGTCCTCTACTTCAGATAGATGCCTGTTATAATGCTAGGCATCTGGAATTTTTTTTAGATTATTCATTGTTTCTTCTGAGGGGCAAACCAACAGACATCTCTGACAGGGTCATCACACCATGATTCACCCCACTCTCAACAGTCCCAGATCACAGACACATACATGTACACTTGCGCACCCAGTGAGCTCAGTGAGGCCCCAGGAAGCAAATCTAGGACCTCTCCCATGTGAGTCAGGTTGTTTTACCACTGCATCACTGCCTGGCCCTCTCCAGAACTTCTGACCAGTTGACTCTGAGGGTTTCCAGAGACACTTCCTCAAATTTTATTAATTTTCTAAGGCACATCACAGAACTCAGAGAAACATTTCACTTATGTTTATTTACTTATTATAAAGGATAGTACAAAGGATACACATGAACAGCCAGATGGAAAAGATGTATTGGGCAAGGCATGTGAGAAGGGGCATGAGTGGTTAAGTCTGGTAGGAACTTAAAAGTGATACAACAAAAGCAGAACTCTCTCTGTTACTGCGTTATGCCTCTCTATGTAAGTGTTTCTTTGCAGGAAGGATTCCACAAGTGAGTCTGAAAATCTATTGTACTTGTCCAACTTCCAGCCAGTTTTTAAATTCTCTAATGTCACTTCTAAGTTGCCTGCTCATCCAGCCATTGTTGTGAGAACTTTCAGTGAGAGACTGGTTCCTTTTTCTCTTGAAATTTTTGCCTTCCCTCCTCAGCATCTCAGGGTCCAATGAAGGCTTTCTGTCCATGGTTCCTCTTTAGCAGAATTTTAGCAAAACTCCTTGGAAGAAAGTGGGTTGAATTCAGCTGGTCAGTGTTGCTTTGCTTTGATGAACATTTCAGATGGATCTTTCTGGTGGAAGAGGATGATAAAAGGAGGAAATGTACAGCTGAGCCTTTGTTCTAACACCCAGTTGATACTCCGAAGAGCCTGGTTGGCCTGGCATGTGCCTCAAGGCATGTAGCATTCTAGAGCAGAGCTGCGGAAGACCACTGACCTGGCTGGAGTGGCTGAGAGCATCTGCAACTCCCTGACCTATTCAGGAAGGAGGCAGTACGATGATTGACATGATGGTTATCTTGTGGTCATGTAAGGAGATAACCTAAGAGACTGAGTTTGGACCCAGATATGGTGAGACTTGGGACATTCTTCCATGTAAATAAATTAAAGGAGTAGAGAAGAACATAGGCTCTGTGGATAATGGTCAGAGAACTGGAATTCCTCTGTCCTAATCTGAATTTTCCTCTAGCTCCATAAACTTTGAGAAGTCCCCTCAACTTTATATATGGATTTTGCCACTGGGAGGGAAGGACTTCATGGATGGCTGAAATGAGATAAGAAAATATGCACGGGATGGCAGATGGAGGAAAGAAAAGTCATAGGAGCTGGGAGTCATTTGCTTATGTACAGTGGTTAGTGTGGAAGAGAAGTCACTGTCTCCTTCATGTCAGGTGCTCAGCCTTCCCGATGTCTGCAGAATACATCTCTCCAAGTGTGTCATTCACCCCTTCCCTCTGAGGAGCAGAGTTTTTGAAGTGTCCCCTTGTATCCAAACAAAGCATTTCACAGTATTTCGAGCTTGTTTATTCTCTGGTAAAGCCTGTGATCTGTTAGTGCATCTCCTGCCATCCTAGTAAGACAACAGAGCACAAACTGAAGCAAGATGTCTTTTCTACTTGTCTTTCACCTTTTTAATTCAATTATTTTTCATTTTTATTTTTCAGAGTCAAAAGCATCCAATGCTACAGTGGATCCTCGGTCATTTTCCCTCAGGAAGTCCAGTGGTGGATTTGAACCACTGCCATTGTTGGAGTTAGAGAAAAATGAAAGCAGACTAACTGAAGACAGACTCGCCTCCATTAACCAAAGCAGACCCCTTCAAAAGCCACTTGCTGCATTCATCTCGAAAAGTGCCTCAGATACATTCATCTCGAAAAGTGCCTCAGGGTATCTGACCAGCTCCTGGCTGACCCTCTTTGTCCCCTCTGTCTACACTGGTGTATGTTTAGTAAGCCTTCCTCTCAACATCCTGGCCATCGTCGTGTTCATCTTGAAAATGAAGGTCAAGAAGCCGGCTGTGGTGTACATGCTACACCTGGCCGTGGCCGATGTGCTGTTTGTGTCCATGCTTCCTTTCAGGATCAGCTATTACTTTTCCGGCAGTGACTGGCAATTTGGGTCTGCAATGTGTCGCTTCGTCACGGCAGCATTTTACTGTAACATGTATGCCTCCATCATGCTCATGACGGCCATAAGCATCGACCGGTTTATGGCTGTGGTGTACCCCATCCAGTCCCTCTCATGGCGTTCTCTGGGAAGGGCGTCCTTCACTTGTCTGGCCATCTGGGCCATGGCCATTGCAGGGGTGGTGCCTCTTCTCCTCAAGGAGCAAACCATGCAGGTGCCGGGACTCAACATTACCACCTGTCACGATGTGCTCAATGAAACCCTGCTCGAGGGCTACTACGCCTATTACTTCTCAGCCTTCTCCGCTGTCTTCTTTTTTGTGCCGTTGACCATTTCCACAGTCTGTTACGTGTCTATTATTCGATGTCTCAGCTCCTCCACAGTTACCAACCGGAGCAATAAGTCCCGGGCTTTGTTCTTGTCGGCTACTGTCTTCTGCATCTTCCTCATCTGCTTCGGACCCACGAACATCCTCCTGATTGTGCATTACGCGTTCCTGTCTCATAGCTCCGTGACAGAGGCTACTTACTTTGCCTACCTGCTTTGTGTTTGTGTCAGCAGCATAAGCTGCTGCATTGACCCCTTAATTTACTACTACGCATCCTGCGAGTGCCAGAGGTACCTCTACAGTATCTTATGCTGCAAAGAAAGTTCAGATCCCGGGAGTTACAACAGCAGCGGTCAGCTGATGGCAAGTAAAATAGACACCTCTTCCAGTCACCTGAGTAATAGTATATACAAAAAGCTGTTAACTTAGGGAAAGGACCGCTGACAGGTTAAGAAAAAGTGGATAAAAAAGTGAATAACCTGAGGATTCTGCTAGTTCCTGCCAAAAGTGTATTTTCTTCACCACCTAAAACAAATGTATGATTTGCATGCTTGCTTCTTATAAAGCCACTAAGCATATGAGTATTTGCTAATTACAGGAAGAGATAAGAGGAATAGATGATAATGTTATTCCAAGGGAGCGTAGATGGTGCTACAGTAATAACTGAACGTCACTTTGGGATGTGTTTAAGTGACTGACTTTACATATGTGTGTACGTGTGTGTGTATATATACACACTTGCATTATTTGCAGTGCGGTGTAGAACAGGCACTTTGAAACCCCTCTTTTCTTCAGCAATTACAGAAGTAGCTCCATTTTCCTGATTAAACATGTAGTCAGGTTGGTGAGTGTAGCCCTGAACATCTGAAGATGCCCATCAATAGTGAGGGACTCTGTAGTGTAAATTTACTTAACTTTTGCAAATAAGAGTATTTTGAAGTTGTTGAACAACAGTATTTAAGTTATTGAAGGATGAGATTCAGTAGTATCTGTGCGTAGAAAAAGTTAGTGTTTTCTGGCCCAGACTGCAGTAACGTGCATTGGCAGGTCCTGCTATTTGGCAGGCTGAGGCCACGTGAGAGGCCCGGGTTTGATTTCTGGTCCACCCTGAAAGTTAGGCAAGGCAATTATACCTGTAAGTCCAGCTACTTGAGAGGCTGAGGCAGGAGGATCATGACAGTGAGACACTGTGTATATTTTTTTTAATAAAAATTTCTGGATTTTTAAAAACATATCAAAGTTTGAATTATTAATATTATTAAAGTCAATTAGAAGCTCTTGTTTTGACATGAGTAACATTTCTGACATTTTTCATATTGTATACATAAACCAAGATTAAGCATAAGTCCCAGTAGTAACTGTAGGTTGGCTTTCAGAGACGCCCACCCCTGAGAGCTACCTACATCCACTCACAATGGAGGACTCCAAGCAGCAGAATGCATGGCAGGGCCGTGTACTACACAGATTGCCAGAATCCCTCCAGTTGAGCCTCCCAGAGAACAGAGGAATTGGAACTATCATGCTGGCTCCATCCTCCTGGAGTTCCCCCAAAGGCTGGCTGTGAAATGGTCATGTTTATTACAACTTGGCAAACCAGATGTGATATTCTAAGAGGTAATGACTATGAAAGATTTCTCTAGCCATAGTAAGATGAGAAAGAAGACATGGTCACGCCCCATAGTTGTCTGCATGGGCAATTCTCACGGGAAGCACCATTAGGTTTTGTGGGTACTCCGATGGGTACCACAAGGATGGAGAGGGATAAGACCAAGGCCTGTCCTCAAGAAGAGCAAAGTAGAGCCAGCCCCATAGCACTACACATGGGAAGCAGATGCCACTTGGCCAACTGGGGTTCTAGTCCTTACCCATCAGCTTGAAAACACACATTAGAAGTGTGTGCATGCCCAGGATCCTGAAGGGATGGAGAACTGAGGGGAAAATCTTTGCAGCATAACCAAACCTGTTGGGGAGTACACGCCCATGGGTGCATGCTTGCTCTCACTCTCACTCTCTCTCATGCTTGTGCACATACTTTCTGGCATTAAAAAAAAAGAGATGCTACATAGCATATGCTGTATGTACACTAAATATGTCATATAAAGAAGTGCTTTTAGCAGATGTCACCATGTATGTTTGACACAGGCAAGGCCTTACAGCTCCAGAACTTTGAACATTTGGGTTGCCACTTCCTGTGTTAAAACTTAAGATGAAAACATGACACAACACAGGATGTATATTTTAAAAAATAGGTCCAGTATATAGTAATTGGACACTTTATTTATAAGTATTTTTCAATAAATTACTGAAATGAGGTTTTCTGTTAAGAATTATATCAGTCTGGTTAGAAATACTAGAAGAAGATGTAATTGACATTAAAATTTAGGAAAATTATTCTGTATTTTCCATTCACTTTTCGTAAGAGTTAATGAATTGATTGTCTAACCCCATGATATGTGTCAAGTGTAGAAAATCTTCATGGATATGACAAAGTAATTTGAAAAATAGGTTGAAATGGATCTTTTTTCCTCATGAAAAATAGTAACATTGTGAACACAGTGGAAAATTGCAAGGCAAAAGTTTGATTAAAAGAGCAAACTATTTCCAAATACTATAGAATAATTTACATAAAAATAATGTAACTATTATAAACATAAGTTAGGACTGGTTATATTAATTTGGTTTTAATATTGATGTTATCTAAATCAGTGGTGGCTTACTGTCATTGTTTATTTAATCCATATATATTTAAGTACCCCTGACATGGCTATCATTACTAATAAAATATTGTCCCACTGTTTTTATGTTTGCTCTCTTTTAAAAAAGATTGATGTAACCTCTATTAATAAACATGAAAATGTGCTTGGTATCTGTGTGGAGTAAATTATTTTATTTTTAGGCCCTGGCAGGGTGGCATTTTTAAAGGTTTAATTGAGGAACATCTAATAGAGTGATTAGCATTAATTAGAAGAGTGTCTCATAAACCCTGCAGAGTTTGGGCAGTTAAGAGAAGCAACAAGGGATGGGGAAGCACCCAAGACTGACAATTAGGAGTAGCTGTTACCACCCACAACCTGCAGGAGTGGCAAGGGGACTACACTGACTTCTCCAACCATCTGGGCTCTTACTGGTGCCTCCCACTGCTTGTGATCTTAACCAAAAACGCAGAAGCCACAGGATCCTGGGTGATGTCAGCTTCCTTGGCAATGGAGGATGGGTCTGGAAGAACAAGGGGTGGGGGGAGTAGAGACAGGATGATTTCTGCCAAAGGCAGGTGGTCTGCTTTTTCTTAATTTAAATTTATTTATTTATATTCATTCACTATACTATTTACATTCATTCACTGTACATCATTACAGCATACAAAATGAGATTTCCCATCCAGAGTACACTGTATATTGGCTTAATCAAGCACATCAACAAACATGTTATCAAAAAATAATTTTCCATTTTTTATTTCCTGTATATTTTGCTTTTTTTTTTTTAGGTGATCTGCTTTATCTGCTTTTTTTTTTTTTTAGGTGATTTGCTTTGTTTTTTTGTTTGTTTGTTTGTTTGTTTTTTAACCCCTTAGGGCAAGTCAAACTTGTATCATTGAGAACATATTCAGATTCCTGAATTATTGGCATCGTGAGTAGCATCTGTGGTTCTTTCCAAGTGAGAAACAAATCAAATGTCAGAGCAGGGAGGAAACCCATAGAGGGCTGTGTTGTCTTCTGTTTGTGAGTGATAATCCTCCACCATCTCACACTCCCGCAGGCTGAAGGGAGGAGTGGAGATTTAAAGCAAAATGGCAAGAACCTCTAAGAGCAGAAAAGCAGTAAACATTTTTCATGAAGTATTTCTAGACCATAGTTGATGGAAGAATTTTTAACTAAACCAGAATTCTGTTCACATACAGAATTTTTAAGTTAACACATAAGCTTTTATTATTATATGTTTTTTTCACATAAGCTTTTAAAGTTTTTGAGGCCTGGGCTTTCCACAAGTGCTTCAGGAACAGATGTACTAAATGAAGTCACATGGGTTTCTCAGTTCACGGCTACCAAAAATAGGATCTTCACTCTGACCATAAAGTAACCTTTAAACTCTTCTATTATTTTTTCCAAATGTGTTTGAATTTTTAAAAACACACTTCAAGTTTCTAGACACAAAATTATCTTTTTTTTCCACTAAGTCAAAAATAACATTTTTAAAGAAATGGAATACTTGGCTGTTGAGTGTACACTTGGAAAATATTAGGTTATACCTCTGAATAAGGTCATTGATAAAACTCTTTCAGAAATTAATAAAACTGGGCTGGCCCTGTGGCCTAGGGGTTAAGAGATCCTGATCCTACATGCCCAACTCCACAATTCAAATCCCAAATTCGGTGATTTATGATGGGTGCATGTGCAAGTGTGCCCAAAATCCCAATGGGATGGAGAAATGAAGATTGCAGCATGACTGTATTCCATTGTGGGGTGCATTTTTCTTCTCCTTTGCTCTCTGTCTCTTTCTGTCTCTCTGATGAGCACACACCTCTAGCAATTAAAAAATAATAATAATAAAACTGTTGGCATGTCCTTCAGAAAGTCTTGGACTCCAAAGCAAATAGAGGCCAAGCCTTTTCTGTTTCTGACGTCCAGTCCTTCCCTTTGCAGATTAATCTTCATCTAGATGCTATAGTGAAAAATTGAGGGCAGGAGATGGCAGGTGGCATGGTGGTTAAGATGCTAGACTCCCACGTGGTCAACCATGGTTCAAGTCCTGGACCTGGTGGCTTGCTTTCTCACTTTCCCTCTTTCTCTCTCTCTGGCCAAAGTAAAATAATAATAATAATAATAAATAAAATTAAACAGATAATTCTTTAAAAAAAAAATAAAAAAAAAAAAAAAAATTAAACAAAAAATTCTTTAAAAAAAAAAAAAAAACAGTCACCTGCAGTAATTTTCTGGCATAATAAATATGCTGTGCAGTTTTGCCTTTCAAATTTACCATACCAAATGAGCATGGGGAGTAACTGACCAGAGGATAAACCTATTGGTGTTTTACAAGAGGTACAGTTAAGTAAGCTGCAGTCTGAGAACAGAGAAACGCATTAATGCAGTGATCCCCAGAGTCCTGAGACTCTTTCAGGAGGTTTCCAAGGTCAAAACTCTTAAAACACAAAGGGGTTTTTTTTTGCCTTTTTTGCTCTGATGCTCTCACAAATGTATAGTTGACTTTCCAGAGACTGTATGACTTGTGATAATGCAACTGATTGAATACAGAGGCAAAGTTGACTTCTATTAAGCCAGCCACTAAAGAGAGCATTACCGGGACCAGCAGTTAGTGTAATGGCTATGTTGCTGGACTCCCATGTAGTCGACCACAGTTCAAGTCCCAGACCCAGTGGCTTAAAACTCGCGCCGGGCGTGTGTGCTGGCGTGTCCAAGGTCCCGAGAGGAGAATGGAGGAGAAGGGATTGCGGCGTGGCCATCCCCCCTGGGGGGGGGGGATGATTCCTCACTTTCTGTCTCTGTCTTTCTAGCGAGCGCACATGCTCTATAGCAAAAACCTCTCCAAAAAGGAAAAAAAGAGAGCATTTACCCCCTCCCAAAAAAAGAAAAGAAAGGTAAAATGATTCAAGTCTTTTTATTAAATTAACTAAAATAAATATGCTCAAAAGTTCCTCATTTCAAATGTCTAATATAGTAAATATAAGTTGATATAGTCAGTAGTGTGCTAGTGAACTGGATATCCAGGAAAAGTAAAAAAGCTTTGAATTGTAGCATTTGCCAATTTCCATGGTGTAAAGACTTTTCTTCATTGACAATTTCAAAATTCTCATAGCTTAACAGCTTGAAAAATTACTGCATATTGAATTATCAGGGGCTGATATAAGCTAACTTCAACAAACCCCTGTATGTAACCCATGTAAATGAAAGCTCAGAAATTTTAAGTATATTAATATAGGTGCCTTGAGCCAAAGAAATTTTCAAACTACTGCTTTGACACGTTTCTCAGATGTATTGACCTCAAGAAGACAGAAAATTGCAATCATTATAAAGCAAACAGGAAATTGATAGGCTCATTGCTATAGGCCACCTCACTGGGTTTCTGGCTGTCTCACAGCCAAGGGGATGGATGTGCTATGCAATAGAGCCGGGTGCCAGATACCAGGTATGGTGTGGCCCACAGGCTGAGAGCTCCCTGTGAGGTCTGGGTCTCAGCCGGCGTGTGAACCACAGCTAACACTGCCGAAAGGGAAAAGAAAGGCTTTTATGAGCAAGGATGCAGACCATCAGGCCAGGAGGCAATTCAAACAGCAGCAGGTGGCATCCCTCTAGAGTGAAAATCAAACTCTTAGCCAGCTGTCCTGGGGATTGATAATTGCATGCTGGTCTTGGGGAAACGGGAAAAAGCAGTGGTCAGATTCAGCAGCATCTTGGACTTCAGATAACATGGCATGTGTAGTTTCTGCCCAGCTGGCCTTGTGTTCTTCACTTCAGGAAATGACTCATAAGAGGTAGGGAGACTAGCTTTGAAAGCGGCATCAGGCCAGTCTGGCCATCTGCTCATCTTATGGTGTCACTGGGCCATCTTCATGTGCTGCTGTGGGGCCATCCAAGGTAGAAGGTGTCAAACCACTACCAGGGGTGGGATTGCCAAGACTCAGATGCATTTACCAGCATGACTGCAATTGTTTTGTGTGTGTCTTGTTTCTTAGCCTGAGGTACCTATTTGCTTTCGAAACTGACCAATGTTGAAAGTTCAATACAATGTGAAGGGGGAAAAAAAAAAAACTGCTCTAGTCCAGCTACTGGAGAGGCAGAGGCAGGAGGATGGTGAGCTCATAGGCAGCCTAGGCAACCTAGTAAGGGAACACATACACACACACACACACACACACACACACACGCCTATCCTCCAAGAGCTGTTGGGTTGTCAGGAAAGTCACAATGTATTTTTCTATTTTTCTATGCAAAAGTGCATCATGACTTTTCTAATCACCCAATAGTTTTCTGATTTAATCATAAAACATACTATTAGTTAAGATGTTAATTCAAATGAAATTCAAAGACCTTCAGAGTTTAATTTATGAACTCTGCAAGGAAGTTTCAGAAACTGTGAATCAGCTCTCAATTCTGCCACACATACAATCACTGGAAAGCATCTCAATAATTCCATGCCAACCCCCACACTCAATATGAATCAGCACCTTTGGAGGCAGAGCCTAGGCATAGATACTGCTTACAAGCTCCTCCAGAGACTCTAACGTGTAAACCCAGGTTGATATCACGACCTGTTGTAAGGGTTTCTCCTATTTAGCATGATTACAGGTCACTTAGGGATCTGGTTAAACTGCAGACACACATGGACTAGTTGAGGCTGGGGTCTGCATGTCTAGCAACCTATCAAGTTAATGCTGAAGTTGACCCTCTCTGACCATACTTCGACTACCAGGGCCCTAAGGGATAACTTGAGGACAAAATTTAGCTAGGTTGGAGGTCTGACAAAATTCAGTTTTCATATCCTTCAAATCAGTTTCTGGGACATTTTTAAAAAAACTTTTACTTATTTTTATCTTTTGGCTGAATGTATTCCCATGCCAGACGGTTTTGTTTCTCCTGTTTCCTCAGAGATTCTTCAGTGTAGCCTCCTCTCCTTGCTTAAGAACATTCTGTTCCTTTTTAGTAAGAGACGTCTGATGTGGCAGCAGAAGTTCATGTATGGGTTGATCTGACCTTGAGCTGTGTAGACACTGCAGAGTATCCTAGGTGCTTGGTTAACTTGAATATGCTCGATAAACCAAAAAATCGACATCTATACACTTAAGTTGCAATTACTCTCTGCACTTTAAATCATGTGCTGCAAAAATTTAAGCTTTGTGTGTGTGCTACTG